TCATCTCATGGAGCAGATTGCCTTTCTTAAATTCAATTTGCCTAAATTAGGGTACCCTGCTCTACACTTTGACTGTAATTGAGCTTAGGGTTTCTCAACTTTCTTTCTAATTATATAAAGTTGGTGGCGACAAAATATTTATTTTATTTCTCATTCCTCCTTATTCTTCCATTCTCTCCCCAAATCCTTAAAATCTCCCTTAAAGTGGTACTGGTTTCTCCCCTCTGGCTGTGTCTGACAGCGGTGTGGCAACGCTTGCTACCTCCGCCAGCGCAGTCAGTTAACGCTAGGGTATTGTGTTTGAGCTCTGGAGGTCCGCTCCCCACGCCAAGGACTGAAGGAGTTTGGATGCTTTGCCCTGGGGATGAAACAAGTGAGTGGGTCGCCAATTGCCCACTCACTCCTCTTTACCATTTTATTTCTTTGTATTTTGCTGTTGATGGTGGCAAAACATCTTTTTTTTCTCATTCCTCCTTATTCTTCCATTCCCCCCTCCCCCCCAAATACATTAAAATCTCCCTTAAAGTGGTACTGGTTTCTCCCCTCTGGCTGTGTCTGACAGCGGTGTGGCAACGCCTGCTACCTCCGCCAGGGTAGTCAGTTAACGCTAGGGTATTGTGTTTGAGCTCTGGAGGTCCGCTCCCCACGCCAAGGACCGAAGGAGTTTGGATGCTTTGCCCTGGGGATGAAACAGGTGAGTGGGTCGCCAATTGCCCACTCACTTCTCATATGTGGTTACATTTTTTTTTTTTTTTTATTTATATTTTTTATTTTTCAGTATGCATAAATGAATAACAATCATTTCTCCTATTTTGGTATGCAAAGATGAACAACAATCGTTTCTCATATTTCAGTTTGTGTAGATGAACAACAATCGTTTCTCAAATTGCTAGACCCGTCAGGGTGATTATAAAACAATTTGTAATTTTGAGAACGGGTTAACAGTATCATTGGTTTCGTAGAACGTAACAATGCGTAGACAATATACCAACATTGTATATGATGTGGCTTCATTTTGGTTTACAATGGCACAATCAAATAACTATATGTATCGGAGATAGTACGAATATGTATCCAGTCTATGTTGTCTGCGTCAGAATTCATGTGTGATAGCAGTGACTAGAGAGATCGTTAGGTTCGTCCTTGTTGTAAGGTTTTTGTCATGGTCTGTAGCTATTGTGCATAGTGTTAACTTTCGGTCTTACCGTGGAGTGCTCTCGATTGTGTCCCTTTCCCTACTCCTGATTGTTTCTGTCTAGAAATAAGTTCCAAGGTTCCCAGGTTTGTTTATAATGTGAGTATCTATGGGTGAGTGAGAAGGTGAGTTCTTCCATAACCCTAGTATCCTCCACTTTTTGTATCCATTCCCTAACTGAGGGTGCGAGAGTCTGTTTTCATTTTATAGGTATTAGTAAGTTTGCTGCCGTCAGTAGATGGTGGATGAGGTGGAGTTGTGGCTTAGGGATGTCGGTGGGGGGCAGCAAGAATAGGTATGATTCTGGGAGGAAGGGTAATGAGATGTCTGGGATGTTTTTAATCAGGTCTGAGATTTTTTTCCAGAATGCATTTATTATAGGGCAAGACCACCATATGTGTGCTGATGTAGCTGGGGTATGATTGCATCTCCAGCAAGAGTTACGGGTGTTTGAGTATATTTTACTCAATTTGTCCGGTGTATAATGCCATCTGGTAATTTTTTTGTAGTTACTCTCTTGTATGGTGTTATTCGTTGTAGTAGAGTGAGCCTTGGTTAGAATTTTCGTCCAGTCGGGGTCAGGAATTGAAGTGTTCAGGTCGGACACCCATGTTTGTGTGAAGGGTGGGAAACTAGTATTGTTGTCTTTTTGGAGGAGTTTGTACATAGTTGAGAGGTGTTTGCTTTTGATCCCCTGCGTTTGGCATAAAGTTTCGAACTCAGTCTGTGGCCGGAGTGTCGTTAGGAGGGTATTGTCGGCCTTAAGAAAGTGTGTCAATTGTGCGTGTTGGAAAGTATGCATCGTTGTTATCTGGGAGTCAACTATGAGGTCTGTCACTGGTTTAATGTTTCCCTCTTGTATCACATCTTGTAGTGTAAGTTGTTGTGATTGTGTGTTATGTTGTAGGAATTGGGTTTGACAGCCCGGGGGAAAAAGAGGGTTGTTAGATATCGGGTATCGCGGGGATGGGTGTGGGGATAGTACTTGGGAGGCCCTGATTTGGTTCCATACCTTCAGTGCGGGAGTGATGGTCGGGTGTTGGGAGAAGGGCGGCTTCTGTAGCATTCGCCCTTTGGGGTGCCAGACTACATTGTGTGCGTGTGTGGAGAGGAACGTCTCTTCTATAGTTCGCCATTGTCTGTGCGGGTGCGGTGCTGTCCATTCGTATATGCGATGTAGTATGACTGCTTTATAGTAGGTTTCAATATCAGGTAAGCCCAGGCCCCCTCTGTTTTTCCTTTTAGTCAGAGTGGTGTAACTGAGTCGAGGGCGTTTGTGCGCCCAAATGAATTCCGAGAAAAGCCGTCTCACCGTAGAGAAGAAGGCTTTTGGGAGTGCGATTGGTAAGACTTGTAGGAGATAAAGTATTTTGGGTAGAATGGTCATCTTTAGGATGTTCACCCTACAGAGCCATCCAAAGTGGGGTTTCAACCATTGTGCTAGATCTTGGGTGATTGTTTCTAAGAGAGGTTTATAGTTGAGAGAGTATAGGGAGGAGAGGTTCTTCGGGAGTTGTTCTCCTAAGTATTGTATTGCTTTGTTTGTCCACTTGAAAGGAAATCGAACTTTAAGAGAGTTGGCGTTGTGAGGGTCTATTCGTAAAGGGAGGATTTCACTTTTGGTGAAGTTCACTTTAAAGTTGGACACTAGTTGGTATTGCTCTAACTCTTCCACTAAGGGGCCCATGGAAGTGGTTGGGTCCATAATCGTGAATAACAGGTCATCTGCAAAAGCGGAAGCCTTATATTCTTGGTTGTTTATACGGAATCCTTGTATGTCAGGGTTGTCTCTCACTCCTTGTAGGAACGGTTCTAGGACTAGTATGAAGAGTAATGGGGACAGAGGGCACCCCTGTCTTGTTCCATTGTATATTCGCACAGGTGGCGAAAGTTGGCCATTAATTCGAATTTTAGCGGTTGGGTTTGAATATATGGATTGGATCCACCGGATCCAGTTTGGGCCGAGGCCCAACGCTGTCAGTGTGGCTAGGAGAAAAGCCCAATCCACTCGGTCGAATGCTTTTTCGGCATCGACCGAGAAGATGACGCTTTGTGTGGGGGTGTGTTGAGAGAAATGGATCAGGTTCAGTATTTTATTGGTGTTATGTTTAGCCTCTCTGTTTGGGACGAATCCTGATTGGTCTGAGTGTATGAGGAGTTGGAGGAGAGGACGTAGCCGTAAAAATCTTTAGGTCGATATTGATAAGGGATATGGGGTGGTAGCTTCCACAGTCGGTGGGATCCTTACCGGGTTTGGGGATTAGGGTAATGTGGGCTTCCAAGGCTGAGCCAGGCAGGGTGGTGTGTGTTGTTAGAGCATTGAATGCCGTTGTGAAAGGTACGCTCAGTGTGGAGGTGAAGAGCTTGTAATATTTAGCTGTGAAACCATCTGGTCCTGGACTCTTGCCCACTGGTAGATGCCTCACCGCTGCCCTAAACTCGTCTGAAGTGATGGGTGCTTCCAAGGATTTAGCGTCTGCGGTAGGTATCATACGCTTTATTCTGGACAATAGGAATTTATCTATTACTTCTTTGGGCGGTGATTTGTCAGAAAGGTGGTATAAAGTTGAGTAGTAATCGTGATATCTGGGAGCATGGCGGTTAGTGTACCTGATGGTGTCTTTATATGGGATATGAATGTGTTTTGTCTTTTTTTCTTGAGTGCATTAGCTAGGAGTCGGCCACATTTCCCCCCTTGTGTGTAGAAGGAGTGTCTGGTGAGTAGTAATTTCCTCTTGACTGAGGCATTCAGGAGATGTTGTAGTTTCGTGCGTCTGTCTGTCAGCTGTATGTAGAGGTCTATCGTATTACTGGTTTTGTGGGCTGTCTCCAAACGCCGTATTTCTTGCGTGAGTGTTTTAATTCTGAGTTCCCTGAGCTTTTTCTGCTTGGAGGCTAACGCAATTATCTCGCCTCTTAGTACACACTTGTGTGCTTCCCATATTACCGTAGGGGACATATTCGGGTCATTGTTGTCTAAAAAATAGTTTGTAAGTGTATCCCTTATTTTATCGGTGATTGTGGCGTTGTTGAGTAATAAGTCATTTAGCTTCCAGTGGAAAGATGTAAGTGGTAAGGAGGGGATCTGAATCTCCAGCGTTAAGGGTGCATGGTCCGACCATGTGATGGGACCATAACTACTTTTTTGTATGAGGTGTAGAAATCTGTGTGGCATGAAGAGCATATCTATCCTCGAGTAGGAGCCCATTATGGGGGAGTAAAAGGAGAAGTCTCTGGATGTCGGGTGAAGTGTTCTCCAACAGTCATATAGTTGGGCGTCGTCTAAGAGTTTTTGAATCTGACGTCGTGTATAGGTTTGGTAGGTCCTTATTTGTGAAGTCGTGTCAAGGGTGGAGTCAAGGGAGACGTTTACATCACCCCCTGCTACTAATATTCCTTCTGTGAAATTTTCTATTCTACGTAGATATTTCCAGAGTGCGTTCCCCTGTTTCCTATTAGGTAAGTATAGGTTCGCGAAGGTTACCATATTGGAGCCTATTTGTCCCTTTACCATAAGTAGTCTCCCGCTGTCATCTGCCTCATGAGAATGATATGTAAAGGGAAGTTTTGCCGATATCAGTATCGCCACCCCTCTGGACTTAGCATGTGTGTAGTCACTGAAGAAGCCATGGGGGTACCTATTGTCTCTTAGAGAAGGGGTGTTATGTTTCCTAAAGTGGGTTTCCTGCAGGAAGGCCACATCAGCTCTGAGCCGATGTAGCTCCATCAGGGTTTGTGTGCGCTTTTCCGGTATATTTAATCCTCTTACATTGATCGTACATATCCGTATCTGCTGTGCTGGTGTGTCAGTCTTTTGTGTCTGTGCCATTGCTTTCAGTGGTCGTATATTAGTCAGCGGTATCTGTGTCGTGTAACAATTTCAATAATATATAACAACAAATGGGAATATGAGATAAAGAGAAAAAGCAAAAAGAACAATAACTATATACAGTTGCGATAATAACGTACAAGGTTTGGTAGTATTAAGTCAATCGACGGTGTCTGACCCAGTCTAGGGGGGCCTATCTAGATTGGGGCCTTTTTGGCACCGCACAGTCAGTGGTTACCTGACTGTTGTCAGATGTTGGTCTGATACTTCTGGGACATGTATAGCCGTCCCCTGTATAGGCTATTTACCCGTCCGGTGGGGATGGACAGATGGGGGGGGGGGGGTTTAGTCGCTAAGGTTCCGAGTCCGGGAAAGGTCTCATCCACTCTATATTTGTTCTTGTATCTAGTGGGCTTATATATGTAAGTTATTATACATAATCAGTGTCTGGGACAATGTCAGTGTCACCCGAAGTAGGCATTTAGCTGCTAAAACATAACATCAATCATATAACAGAGAATTCACATGAATCATTAACATTCCCCAGGAGATTGTTATCTCTCAGTGTCTCTTTTCTCCCTGTGGGGCTAGCTCGTACGAGCGTGATGGAGAGTTTTGAGATTCACAGGTAGCAGTAGGGTGATGTGTACATATAACCTTTCTATTAGAGGTTGAATATAAGTATCCAGCCCAGAGCGTCTAATCGGTCAGGTGGTGTCGGGGACACGGGCACCCGGCCGGGTGGCCGCCTCCCCAAGACCCCATCGTTCCTACAGAAATGTCATTCACGTGGCCATATGGGTGTTGCAGTTACTATGGCGATATCCAGTTACCCTGGCTTTAGCTAGTGTCATCAGTGCATATGCATATTAAAAATACTTGCGGTTGTCGAACCTTTCTATTTGAGAGATTGGATATAAGTATCCAGTCCAGAGCATCTAATCGGTCAGGTGGCATCGGGGACACGGGCACCCAGCCGGGTGGCCGCCTCCCCAAGACCCCATCATTCCTACAGAAATGTCATTCACGTGGCCATATGGGTGTTGTAGTTACTATGGCCCCTGGGCTTTAGCTAGTGTCATCAGTGCATATGCATATTAAAAATACTTGCGGTTGTCGAATGAGTTTGGTAGCGTTAGGGGCGCGGATCCCCATTTGGGTAGGGGGGGAGCCGCCCTCCCAAGGCCCCGCTACCTGTGGTAGTCCAATTGCTCACTGGGATGAGGAGCGTGAGGAGTATTTGCAGCAAAAATGATAGCGGTCTTCTGGTGTTACTGTATGTTCATGGTGTGTGTTGGTTTGGGAGCGTGGAGGTCAGTACATATTTGTGGGGCCTCCCCTTGGCGTGGACGCCCTGGAGAGTGCTTGTTCAGGCCTCCGTCTTTTCGGCGTTTGTTGCCATCTTGTGCGCTGTTGTAGTGGTTCCCTTTGTAGTGGTTGTGGCAGTCCATACCAGTCGGGTACTCTTGTATCCGGTAAGTCCAATGCTTGTAAAAAGACGGGAACATCATGAGTGGAGTTGATAGTGAATACTTTGCCTTGGTGGTTAACACTTAGCGCCAGGGGGAAACCCCATCGGTACCTGATGTTGCGTTGGCGTAGGATGTCTGTTATAGGTTTGAGAGTCCGTCTTGCCTGCAGCGTCAGCCAGGATAGGTCAGGGTAGATCGAGATTGGAGCATCTTTATATAGTAAAGGCTGGGAGGCTTGTCTTAGTGCTTTGAGTATGTCATCCTTTTGGGAGTAATAGTGCAGACGGCAGATTACGTCTCTTGGTTTGTCCGCTGGCGCACCTCTGGGGCGCAATGCTCTGTGCGCCCTTTCAAACATGATTGGTGTATCAGCTTGTTTTCCCATGAGGAGATTAAATATTTCTTGCAGTACCTCTGTTAGATTTTCTGTGTCCTGTTCAGGTAGCCCTTTTAATCTGAGATTATTTCGTCTACCCCTGTTATCCATATCGTCCAATGAGCGCTGTATATCAAACGCCTGTGCAGAGTGTGCTTCCATAACAGATTGCATGTGTGACACTTGGAGTTGTATTGCATCCCTGTCATCCTCCAGTGTGCTCACTCTATCTTTAGTATGCCTTATATCAGCTCCCACACTTTCCAGTTTAGTCTGAAATGCAGCTTCTAGTTTCCCCAGCATGTTGGCTATATCCTGCTTAGATGGTAGATTTTGTAGTATACCTTTTAGGTCTGGGTCTTGTAGTACCAGGGAGCCTGCAGATTCAGCTGGGCTAGAGGGAGGGGATGTAGTGCCTGGCGAGTCCGGCGCCATATTGGGGCCTACCATGCTTTCGTGAGCCTCCTTGGAGTCCCTGAAATATTTCGTCAGGGCTCCGGTTTTTGCTGCCACTGACCTCCCTGTCGTTCTCTGGGATGAGGGCGTGCGTTTGGGGTGTCCCATGTTTGTATGTTAGCCCGATGTCCGCGGATTGAGTGCCTTCCTTGCCGGAGCTCTGCTACTGTGCTGCCATTCCGGTCGGCCTTGTGGTTACATTTTTATTTACTATCTCACTTTTTTCCTTTTTCTATCTTTTTCACTTTCTTTCTTATGATTCAAATTAAATGTGCGCATGCACATTTGGATCTGACATCGGCAGGGGTTGGAGAGTTCTCCAGCCCAGAGGGAGTCCGGCGCTGGAGAAAGGTAAGTGGCTGAAGGGATTTTAACCCATTCATCCCAGCGGGACAGGGACCCTGAGGGTGGGCGGACCTAATGAGCAGGAAAACGAGTTTGTTTTGCTGGCACTATAGTGCTCCTTTAACTCCTCCCCTACCAGACAGCCACTAGAGCAGGGGTTCCAGACCCAGTCCTCAAGTACCCCCTACCAGTCCTGGATTTAGGGATTACCCTGTTGTGTCTAAAGTGTTTTTTGTTTTTTCACCCAAAACACCTTAGGCACAATTGAGTAATCCTTCAATCCTGTACTGTTAGGGGGAACATGAGGACTGGGTTGGGAACCTCTGCGCTAGAGGGACTTCCTGTGCTCTATCAGAAATCTGTATCTATCAGATTTCTATACCTAGGTCACTTCTGGTGCACCCACGTCACTGTAAGTAAAATAAAAAAATTTCACATCACCGTAACTAAAATAAAAGGGAACAAATAAATAGGGCTAAATGCACGAACGGCATAAAAAAAAAAGAAGGGCACTGGTATCCACAAAAATTGGGTTTTGTCACAGTTACTTACTACACACACAGTAAAAGATATATATATATATATATATATATATATATATATATATATATATATAAACTGATATAAAATTCTATACCCCAAGGTCTGCTAAAGCACTTGCTGATCTCAGCAGCGTGCATGTCTGCTAGCAGGCCTTGGGGTATACAGAATTCTATATCAGATTTATTTTTATATATCTTTTACTGTGTGTGTAGTAAGTAACTGACAAAACAGTTTTGTTGATACCAGTGCCCTATTTTTCATATGCCGTTCGTGCATTTAGCCTTATGTATTACCTTTTATTTAACCGAATAAACTGCCGAATGGCCAGACCACACGCAATGGTAGTGTGCCGCCTGTTAACCTCCCAGAAGCTGTGGTTAACCGCAACTAATTGACCTAATAGATGAACGGCTGGGTGGTCGCAGTTTGGTACAGTTCGGCTATTTGAACTCACGCACTGCTACTGAGTCAATTTCACAAATGGTCCTGTTCGTGCATTCGAATGGGACTTAATCATTTTTTATGCCAGCTAACTTTGTAACCCCTGGTTGTAATTGGCTGAATTTTGACTATGTTTATAATTAAAGTATGCTGAATAATAATATGTTACTTTTAGGAAGATTGGATGTATATTTTTAAAGTTACATTAACTGTGTAAAAAGTATATTTTTCCTGCCAGTGATAATTACTTTAACCCATTGTGTTCAGTAACTGTATCACAGGCAGAGAGGAGGATTTGTGTGTAATTGCTGGGAGTGTTTTACTATAATTTACGTGTTTTATTGGTCATCTTACAAAACCCTGTGGGCGGTACTATGGGTAGAAAATGGGCATAAGAGCTGAGTGTTTCAATAAAACTTCAGTTCTACTTCACCCTCAATTTGGAGTCCTGTCTCTTATTGGGGGAATTTGCTACAAGGGATTGCTATGCTTGTCATACTCTCTTGCTATATTACTAAGCTCATTTAAGAGCTTGTTCCTGCTTCGCTCTGTAGGAAGAGAGGTTCGGTCTGCGGTGGTTGTGGTATCTGCTGGAGTGCTTGGAGCCCTCAGGAAGCGCTAGGAGCATCCTTCAATGGAGGTACCCAGTCGGGGTGCCAGGCGAATCCGTTACAGTAATGCTTTCCTATGGACTGATTTAATGCGCGCGCGGCTCTTGCATTGAGCACTGACGTCAGAAGAGGGAGATTTCCCCAGCACAGAGGGAGCCCGGCGCTGGAAAAAGGTAAGTGATTAACCCCTTCCTCCCCCTTCGGGGGGTGGGGGGGGGCCCTGATGGTGGGGGGACCTAAAGATCCTATTTTGCCAGTTTGTTTTCCTGGCACTTTAGTGATCCTTTAACTCAATGGCAATTCGACTGTGTTCATGGGATCAGAGTGCTGTTCGGATATATTGTGCGCTCAGATCCAAGCTATCTGGGGATATGGTGAATGTGGGAGGTCCAGTTGTGTGAAATTTAAGTTATGTATTTTAATGTGTTTTTTTACAGTTAAAAATTGGAAATATTTTTTGTACCTAGAGATGATTAAAGGGACACTATAGTCACCCAGACCACTTCAGCTCAATGAAGTGGTCTGGGTACCAGGTCCCTCAGGTTTGAACTCTTCAGATGTAAACATAGCAATTTCAGAGAAACTGATATGTTTACATTAGGGGTTAATCCAGTCTCTAGTACAGGTATAGGCAACCTTCGGCACTGCAGATGTTTTGGACTCTTCAAATGTGCATTCCGCTCCACTCAGGAGCTGACGTCAGACAGGGAGAAGAGGGGTATAAACGCCTTCAGCGCCACGGGAGGTGGACCCTGAGGGTGTGGGCCCGCACAACCATAGTATACATAGAAGCCGCATTGACTTCTGAGTGGCGATAAATGCGGGCGCCATCTTGGGACGGGCGATGTTGACAGCAGAGGTAAGAGGAAGGATAGGACTCAGTAAGTGTAGAGAAGGGATAATAGGAATGGTAGGACTCAGTTGGTGCAGAGTAGGGATAATGGGAATGGTAGTACTCAGTTAGTGCAGAGTAGGGATAATGGGAATGGCATTACTACTCAGTACTACCATTCTCATTATCCATGCACTGACTGAGTACTACCATTCTCATTATCAGTCAGTGCAGGGATGATGAGAATGGTAGTACTCAGTCAGTGCAGGGATAATGAGAATGACAGGTGGACTTTCCAAGTGTTCTTCAATACCTTGAGTAGAGTGGTTCCTGTTCCAAGATGGCTGCCCCGTGACTCATCAGTGCCAGCAGGCAGTAGCGGTCAATGCAGCATCTATGTATACTATGTCTATGAGGGCCCCCATCGGGGCACTATAGTGTCAGGAAAACCGCTTTGTTTTCCTGACACTATATTGATCCTTTAAGTTTTCTATGGCTACTTAATCCAATTATACCATGTGGGAGTATCCCTTGCTGGAGGACCTGCATAAAAGGCTGAGCTGGTCCCACCATTAAACAGACCATTTTACCCCTTCATGAAGTCTGGGCTCATGTTTGGGGGATTGGGAGCTATAATTCACAGGTATAAAACATAATTTAATATGAATAATATATTAAACAATGGTAGGAAATAAGATTTATTTTTTTATTTCTGCATGACATTTTAACTGTGAATTTCATAATACGGTTTGCTTTTACTGCAATAAAACACATATATGTATTCAGCGATGTCTCACGTGTATAACAGTACTCCCTATGTACAGGTTTTATGTTGTTTTGAGAAGTTACAGAGTCAAATATAGCAAGTTGCATTTTTCACACTGAAATTCACAAGATTGGTTATGTTGCCTTTGTGACCGTATGGTAGCCCAGGAATGAAAATGATGGCATAACATTTGCAATAGTAGACAAACCAAGGTATTGCAAATGGGGTATGTCCGGTCTTTTTTAGTAGCCACTTGGTCACAAACACTGGCCAAAGTTATTGTTAATATTTGATTGTGTGTGAAAAATGCAAAAAACTTATCTGAATGCCAATTTTGGCCAGTGTTTGTGACTAAGTTGCTACTAAGAAAGACTGGACATGCCCCTTTTGAAATACCTTGGGTTGACTACTATTGCAAATGGTATGCCATCATGGGGTAATTCTCATTCCTGGGCTACCATACAGTCTCAAAGGCAACGTAACCAATCTGGCTAATTTTATTGTAAAAAAACTGAAACGCAAGCCTTATATTTGACTCAGTAACTTTTGAAAACCCCATTGTAGCAAACTCACCCTTTTAAGGGAGTTTGCCATGAGCTTTTGGAGGGGCCTGCTTGCCCGCCTCCTGCCCTGTGACTACGGCCCCTGGGATGTATTGTCCTTTAAGAACATATTTAGGCATAATAGATTTTTATTGTGCGACTACTGGCCCTTTAAGCACAGTGAATGGACTTTTATTGGACTATGTATGCCCCTTCAAGAACCATCTGGGGACATATTGTGACTTTTGGGAACAATGCCCCTTTAAGACTTTGTCCCCAGACTGTTAATATATTGTGTTCCTGGCTTTCTCCCACTTGGTTCAGTAAATGGGGCTTACTGAACCAAGTACCACACAGGCGGACCACCCAGAAGTGGAAGTGTGCAGGCAATTTACCTCTCAGGCTGGGAGCCTGCTGTAGGTAAATTGCCGAACGCTGGGGGGCCGCCGTTCGCGCAAACAAAAACGTGTCGGTGGCCATCTTTGTTCATTCTATGCGGTCAGCGGTGTGTGTAGCCAAATTCATGGAACTGAAATCGGCTACACAGTTCCGCGAACACCGCTGAGCCTTACCTTTTCCCACAATGATTTTGCAACCGCAGAGACTAAGTCCCATTCGGCGATGAGGCTTAGTCATTTTTCCAGTCGGTCAAAAAGGGACCTCCAGCTAACTTTTTAACCCCATGTTTATAATTAAAGTATGCTGATTAATAATGTCATTTTTATGAATATTGAATGTGTAGTTTTAAAGTTATAGTACATGTGTAAAAACTGTTTCTCTGCCAGTTATAATTACATTAACCCATTGTGTAAGGAAATTAAATCACAGGCAGAGGGGAGGATTTTGTCTGTAATTGCTGGGAGTGTCTGAGTGTATTGTACGTATTGATTGGTTGTTTTACAAAACCCTGTGGGCAGTACTATGTGTGCAAAATGTTCATAAAAGCAGTGTCTCATTAAAATCTTCATTTCTTCTTCACACTCAATTTGAGTCCTGTCTCTTATTGGGGGAATCTGCTACAAGGGATTGCTATGCCCTGCATGTTCCCTTGCTATAATCACTCCTAAACCCTTGTAAGAGCTTGTTCCTGGTTTGCGCTCTGAAGGACTCTACGGTGGTTATGGTGTCGGCTGGAGTGCTGGAAGCCCTCAGGAAGCACTAGGTGCATCCTCCAACGAAGGTACCCAGTCAGGGTGCCCGTCGATCTGTAACAACCATAAAACCTGTACATGAGGGATGCTGTTATACTCAGGAGACTTCGCTGAACACCAAAATTAGTGTTTCAAAACAGTAAAACGTATCACAACAATTATCTCGTCCAGGTAAGTGCCATTTGTATGTAAAAAATGTCACTTTCACTGACGATAGCATTTGTGTTCAGTGAAGTAAAACAGTACCCCACATGTACAGGTTGTATGGTGTCATAGAAAGTTACAGGGTTATATACAGTGCTAGCAAATTAATTTCCCTGGACTTTTGGCCTGGGATGACAGTCAGGTCCTGCAAATTGTAATTAATAAAATGACCTAATTATGTAAAACTATTACATAAATATATACATAGAATTATTATATATATATACGTGTTTGTGTATATATATCTATCTATATATATATATATATATATATATATATAATCCGACACTCACCATCATTAAAAAATATAACTTGTAATACCTGGGTGCTTCCAGTGCCAAACATAAAGCAAATAGTGAATGGAGCACTCCTTAGAAAATTTTCAATCATGTATTTAATAAGTAATCAAGATTACTTACATACACAATTGAAAATTTCCTAAGGAGTGCTCTGTTCACTATTTGTTTTATGTGTATATATATTTTTTGTAATTATCTTTATTTATATATAGTGATATTATTTGTTCAAGTGTGTGTGTATGTATGTATATATATAAAAATTATTAAAGAAAAGAGGAGTCAGAAGTTGTAATCCAATATTTTTTTTTATTTAGAAAAACAAGTGGGAGAAGCAACAAAGCAGAGGCAGCCCAGGTTGTTAGGAGCAGTCCTGGGAGGATATAGTGCAGAGGAGAATGAACCAATGTATATTCAGGGGAAGGATAGGGAAAACCAGGAGGAAATTGAGAATGTAATAACCTACGATGAACAGCGTCAGTTGTGTTCACATTGTGGATGATAATGAGAAATAAACATCTGAGTGCATTCTTCCCGCAGATATCTATTCATCATCATCATCCCTTCTGGGAAGACCCTGCGCACGTCTTTCACAAACTAGGCTATCTACATCAGCGATGGTTATGCCCAAATTATGGTCAGCTTGTGCGCGCATTAGAATGCACTCTTCCTCCCTCATTTCTATAAAGCGTTGCATATTTTGCTGCAAGGAAACCATTGCTGATGTAAATT